TATGGCCAACCATATGGTTCAAGTCTGGGCCCTGGGGACTTGGGAAACACTTCAAGCACATGAGCATGTGTGCCCCAAATCCCTACAGAATGGAGAAATGGAGGAGAAGGGATGGCAGCATGCCTGCACCCCACTGGAGGGTGCTTTCTCTATTCCCCTCACATCTATCTCTCCCTGGTGAGTGAATGGACCTTCTCATGAATGGCGATAACAACAATAATAATTAGTTACTAAGTGCTTTGTAAGATTTGAGAAAGTGGGTAATTACAGAAACTATCAATTGTTTTTTACATAAATGTCAAGAGCGCTCCAAAAGCTCCTCACAAATGGAAGATTTACATATCATAATGATGCAGCCCTACGATAAGTTAATTTTGTGCTGGTAATAATTCAATAAAAGTTTTACTCATATTTATATATATATTATTTCTTCAATTGGATTAGATCTTTGCTATGATTACTGTAAGTTCAATGTTCTTGTCAGGAACACAGAAAATTGAAATGATTGGAATGACTTCGTTCTTTTAAGTACAATGACCTAATATGATGACAAAGTATAAGTAAGCAAGCGCCACATCAACATGTATTATTTAATTTTAATTATTTTTTTAGTTACAGTGGAGGACTGGGGTATCTCATTTGTCCTGTAACCATGGTGACCACAGTACTTCACTCTATTATTTTTTTTCAAGAGTATATCATTAATACAGTAATGAGCCAGCCAAATAAATGTTCTGTATTACTGCCAAAAGGAGTTTATTATGGTGACCCTGAAGTAAACTTGGGAATAAAAAAAAGTAATTAAGTTAATTGGGGGTGAATAGGAGTCAGCCAGGCATCGTGTTAAGGAAGAGAGACAGCAGAGAAACAGTGGAGATACGACCTGAGGCGAGAGGGAGCACTGCCAGTGAGGCCGGAGGAGCGGCCCACATACAACGTGGCTGAAGGAAGCAAGAGGCGAGTAGACCAGGAAGGCCAAGTGGGCCATGGTGGGGAGTCTGGACTTAAGTGTAAAGAGTAATGGGACCTTTGACAAGTATCGCCCAAGACAGGTTCATGGTAAGATTTGATCTCTGCAGGTGGTGATGGCAGGAGCGAGAATCACTATGAGGAGAGACGTTAGGAGGCCACTACAGTGATTTGGCAGGAGGTGACAGTAGCTTAAAGAAAATGGGGGCAGTGACTGTAGGGAGAAGCAAACACATTTTGGAGTAAGGAGATGTTTGTGTGTGAAATAACAAATATAATAAAACAAAAGATTGGATGAATGTACGGTTTTAAAAAGACACTGAATTCTGAAAGGCCATACTGGACTTTTTTTCTTTTTTTTCCTAATAAACTGAGTGGGATGGATTTTCCTATTTACTACTTTACACACACACACAAACCAAAAAAGAAAATAATTTCAAGAAAACATTATTAACTTTTATGCCTTTGTGTAGATACTCAAAGACTTACTAGATAAATGATGCTATAACCTTTATAGCAAACACTCTCGTGTCATGCACACCATTGCAAAATACATAGCTATGGATCCTTATTTTGTTCGCAAAAAAAAAAACAAAAACAAAAACAAAAAACAAAAAACAAAAACAGATGCCAGATTTTGTGTTTTGTTTAATGTTCAAAATCATTATTGCTTTTCTTAAATCCTTCTTTCTTATCAATTATATTCTGCTGATTTCTCTATAATCCCTTATTAAATAGTTAATATATTTTATTATTATTTTTATAATTAATTTTATTTATTCATTCATTTATTTTTTAATCTGAACAGAGAGAGACACAGAGAGAGAGGGAAAGTGAGGAAGCAAGCCACCAGGTCTGGGATTCGAACTGTGGTTAGCCATGTGGGAGTATCCAGCACCTTAACCACCACACTACCTGCTGGACCCAATAGTTAATATATGTTAAATAAAATGATAGTTCCTTCAGGTTCTGGAAATTACTGAGAATATTTGAGATGTCTTTTTTGTTATTGTTCTTTAAGATGCCCCCTTATCCTCAGAGGGTCATCTTTTCGATTTATTCCAGGAGTGTAAGTAGAAATCCTTCCATTTTTCTGCCCTTGATTCCACTAATGTATCTATGTTGCATCTATTCGTACTTATACCATCCAATCTGAGGGATACAACATCTTCCTTCTTGGCCTCTTCAAGCTTGCAGGAAGAGGGTCTTTCCTGAAATCTAATGGAGTAAACTGGACTATGGTCTCTACATTTCCTTAAGATATAACTCTAATCATGATTTATCTTTCTATATTCTTAATTTGTCAATGGTACTTTCCCATTAGCACAAATCCATAGTTACGTCACTTCTATCTTAAACCACCCTCTATACCCCTTCTCACAGCTACTCAACTTTAAAAAACATCTCAAAGATTGTGTGTGTTTTTCTGTTCATTTGACGGTGAGCTATTTTTCATTATTGCATCTAAAGAGAAAATAGCTATAACCTATAAAAGCAATTCTGACAGAATTCAAATGAAATATTCTCATTTATGCCTTTATTATGCTTTGTAATATAAAATCTGATGTCAATTTCACTCAATGTCATTACTGGCTTGTGTGTGTTTCGTTGTTTTTCTAAACAGTAATATCATAAACATTTAACGCATATTATCTAACAAAGTAAATAGTAAGTGAACAAATCGATCTTCTAAAATACATGATGGCATCAATTTATAAAGTTAAAGATAAGTCAAAGTCTTTACTTTTGCTGAATTGGATAGAAAAGCTAAGAAATTGTCTAAAACGTATACTTGAAGAATAGGACAAAGAATGAACATTTTTTTTCTCCTAAATTTTAACCTGGTAAAAGATGTTACATAAAAATGAAAGTTTAATTCATTCCTTTCTGATAGTAATTTTAAATGACAACATCAATTATAAAGTACTCCTTATTTTTATTTTATACTGCAGAATAATAGGTACAATGATGTAACTGATACTAAAGTGAATAAAAGTATTTATGATAAAATACATTTCTTCATGACCATTTAATTTACCCAAATTCAATTTCATAAAGAACAAGGAGTTTAAGAAACTAACCAGTATATTTTAGAAGGACAGTATAATCGTATATAATTCAATAATATAATGACTATTAACTCAGTAATAGTAAGAATTACACAGGCTATTCCTTATAGTAATTACTAATTTGTTGCATGATATTTTTATTGATCTAATCCTTGACTGTCCTTTCCAATGCAGTAGACAAATGACTCCTTTAACAAAATTAACTACTCATGTCAACACGCTTTTGTCACAAAAGGCTTTACTGTGTCAGTTTATTCTATAAGCATTCATTAAGGGCCTACTATTGGCCAAGAGCCCCAGGCCCTGAATGTAGAAGGATGGAAAATGGGTGACATAACTACTGTCTCAGGTAGTTTCAAGAAAATGTCAGCAGTACATGAAAGTCACAGGTGGACTTCATGGAACTTCTGAAAGAGCATTTATTTAAATAAGAACATTTAACCAAGGTAACATACAGCGTAGGCAAACTATACAAAAAGTCAATTTAATATATCACATGTATTCATGACTAGCATGCATCTTGACATTACTTTCTCATATGTTATAGACTCTAAAGAAATAAGATAATTTTTTTAGTTACACCAAACTATTTTTCTTTTCAGAAATGTAAATGTGCTACTTTTTTGCATATATAGAAAAACTAGTTTTATAAAGGAAGGTGACTATTTCAGTATCTCTGCATCGTTAGAAGTTTCTGAGCTTGGAAAAGTAGAACTCAGATTAAAGAGCAAACTTTAAAGGTTAAAGATGATTGGATAGTTAGATACTACTAGAGAAATTTACCTTCCAGAGGCTGTGTTAATATTTTGGAGGTGGAGGGTAAAACTTGGAGACATATACCATCGAGCATTGCTTAATGATGAGGACATATTCTGAGAAATAGTTTAGGCAAGTTTGTTATTGTGAACATCATAGAGGGCACTTACATAAATCTAGATGGTATAGTTCATTACAAACTTAGGCTACATAATACATCCTTTTTAAGATTTTTTTTTTTTTTTTTTTTTTTTTTTTTTTTTTCTATATGGCCACTGTGTTTTCATCCTTTTTAAAATTTTTTTTTTTTTTTTTTTTTTTTTTTTTGCTATAGGGCACGTGTGCTTGCTGGAGAGAAAAAAAAGTGAGAGAGGGAAAGTAAGAAATCATTCCCCAGTGGGGATGGCCATGCCACAGTCCCTTCTCCTCCATACTCTTGTTGGAATTTTGGGAATGCACATACATGCACCTGGTGTACTTCCAAGCGGCCAGGTCTGGGATTCGAACAGTGCATTCAGCCATGTAGGATCCAGCTGCCTTAACAGGATACCACCTGGTTGGTCTGATATAGCTTTCTATAATCTGATGTGACCTCTGTCATATATGAGGTCCATTGTTGGCTGAAGTGTCGTTACATGGTGTATGACTTTATATGACTTTAAACAGATTCACAAGTACTTATTTACATTGGGGAGGTTTCTTTCCCTCTCTCAGGAGGAAAGGACAGCACTGTATAACAGCCTCCGTGTAGAGCCATAGTCCTAATCTGTGGGCTCCTATCCTATGGTGTAAAATCCTCCTTTTAGTACTTGCAGGTGCCCACACTGGTTTTTAATCACCTCATTCATTCAGGGGGGATAGGGTGTGGGAGCTGATACAGTCGCTGCTGTAAGAAATTAAGAGTCTGTCCTAATCCAGAAAGTTTGCAACTTTTTTAGGAAAAAATGAATACTGCTATTAAAAATGTGTCACATTTTACGTGAGAGCTTGGGGCTTGAAAAAAGCATCTTTGAAAACAGAGCTTTATTATACTTATGTTCATGCTAGCAAGTCACCTTAATAATCAATAAATGATCTTATTCAGCAAAGACCCTCCATTCATCTTCTTAATCATTTTGTCATAAGATGTTGATATAATAAAAGGTGGGGATAATTTAGAGCACAAATGTAAGACCACCTATAGGAACAAAAAGAAAAATCACTTACTTGATATTATCCAGACAGCCGGATTCAGGTTTCAGTATGGCAGTATGATGAAACATTTTATATAAAGCAATCCCAAGGAAGATTACATTAAGCTGGAATGTAAGAGGTAGTGTTATGTAGCAAAACTGGAGTAGAAGAAAAACGTCTAATCTCTGTAACAGATGAGTTGCTCTGCAAAATTAGCTCTCACTCCACTTTTAAAGGAATTGGCTCAGAGATGACTGCCTAGTATTTTAGCAAAGGCAAGAAGCCAGTCTGGGGAATTGGGATTCCACTGAGTAACGACGCACTGCTACGGCATACACACACAGAAGTACAAAATCAGCAGCAGTGGGAATGCTCGTACGGAAATTCTGAAACTCAAAATCCGATGTAATGAAAAAATAAAAAAGATTGATAATTATCTGAAGTGTGTTACTCTTTCTGTACTCTGAATAGGACCTCAAATGTATTATTTAGAGATACAGTTTCAAATAATATGTTACAAAATGAAAATAAACATTTTTTTGAAAAGCTACATGAAAAGAATTATAAAAGGCTAGCAAGCTTTTGACCCTGCAATGATCTAGGACTAAAGCAGAGGGAACCCTCAATGATACTATCCGATCAATGGAACCAGAGGAAGCATATGATTTAAAACAAAACAAAACAAAAAGCTCTTGTGCAAACTGTATAGATCGAATATATATAAGCTATATAGAAAAGACACATTCAATTACTCTTTACCACCTGGCTAGTTTACATATTCCACAACCTGGATTGGGGGGAACCAGGAAAGTCCTGTGAAAAGCCTCACTGGAGGGACCAGCAGATGTTATAATGGTTATAATGTTAGATTCCCACCTAAGTCGGCTATGGTTCGAGTACCGGACCCAGCAGCTTAAAACTCATGCCAGGTGCATGTGTGTGCATGCCCTAAATCCTGAGAGGAGAATGGAGGAGACAGAACTGCAGTGTGGCCATTTCCCCTGAGAGGTGATTTCTCACTTTCTGTCTGTCTCTCCAGTGAGGAGAGACAGCATGTGCTCTCTCTCTCTATATATATATATAAAAAAAAATCCCTCAAAAGGAAAAAAAAAAATCCCCACTGGAATTCTCTCAGTAACACATGTTAACAACTCTTCCTCAAATGAAAAAGTCTAAAAGTTAAAAGTTTTAAAAATCTATTGGGTAGTCGATAAGCCCAACTGGAACTGAATCTATTACTTGGGAAAAACTGATTTGAATTGACATAAGGCTGTCCCTGATCTTTATTCTACTTGCTCTTACCTTTTCTATTTTTTTTTTCCTCTTGAAATAGCACTGTGTTTGGACAGATTGCTGCCTTGTCCCAATTGCTTGATGTGTTTGATTTTAGGCAACTGCCTATTCCTCATGGGGGTTATGATGTAACAAGCAGTTAAAATAAGATAGTCCCTTTCTGAAGTCTGACAGATAAATTTCTAAATTCCAAAATACACATGTCCCCAAAATTTCAGATAAGGCATTGTAGACCTATATTTTATTCCATGTCAAGGGACTAACATTTTATTTCAAATAATAGATAGTGACTTTACATTTGTAAAATGAATAAGAGGTCAGAGCACAGTGGTAACTCAGTACTCCACAATGCTAGAACCATGCGAGATGGCCTTGGGTTCACATCCCAAGGTCTCCCTGCACATCAAACACGTGTGCACGCCTGTGATCTGGGCTGGCTGAGGCTGGGGGCGGATGGTGGTATGAAGACTCTACTAGAAGTGCCTGTTTGTCTATCTTTCTCTCATGGAATAAATGATTAAATAAACTTAAAACATAGTAAATATGTAAACAACCACACTAATATTTTAATCTAAACTAGAATCATTTATATTTGAAACCAAATCATATGCATCTAAAAATTTGAAAAAAGAGAAAGTATGATTCCTGAATGCATGTGTAATTAGGCTGTGCCTTTTGAATTTTAGATTTCTCAAGATTCATATATATTAAACAAAAATCTGGAATGGATAGTCAGGTGTTTTTCCACCTTCCCAATTTCTGTCCATTCCTAATTCAAATGATCCGAAACCAAAAGGATGGGAATACACTTCTGTCAAACTCAAAGTCATCTCTATTCAAATACCTACAAGATCAACTGGACTATGTTGGCTTGGACTCCTAGGTAGCCATTATATGCATAAACTCTTGCAAATGCATGTTTTCCTCTTCTATTGATGCTGATAAACTATCTTATAATATAAAAGTAGACTATAATGATTGTCTAATTGCTTGAGTTACGTAGGGTCAACTAAGTACATGCTTCCCCCACATTAACCTATGTAAATTAAAGATAGTAAGTACAGGGATCATGAACGTTTTATTTCTTGACCTGGGAAACACATAGTTAATTAGGAGTTCTTACCATAATTATCAAGGTCGCTGGTCCTATAAAACTCCAAATGAAGTAGGTGTCGAGTCGGAGCCAACATCTGCAATGAAACACAAGGGAGAGAAGGCATTCAAGGACTGGGTATGGGCCATACATCAAGAGTGAGCGAGTGACAGAGAAGAATGTGAGCTGCAAGGCATTCCACTGGGAGACAGGAAATATTACATTGCTTGTTCATTTAAATGCTGAATTATGTGCCCAATTTCTGACAGTCCTATTGATGGAGTGAGATAATTACCCCTAGAGAAAGCAGGAAAAAAATGGCACTGGGCCTATTTGCTAAGGCCTTTTGTGTCTGTCATAGAAACTTAAAAAAAGAAAGAAAAAAAAATGAAGAAAAAGAAAGAAAGAAAGAGCCATACACATAGCCATTAAATTGAGTAGCTTTAAGCTATCCTTTTCTCTCCAATTATGGTGCTACATAACCTGTCTATCAGCTGTCAGGTAAAGTGACATTTTCCTGTCAAGAAGATCTGAGGAAATTCAGTACAAAGAAGAAATAAATTTGGGATCAGAAGATTGAAGTTTAATTAGGTTGGGCAGCCAACCTTTGAGAGTTCTCAAGTCTTAAAAACTGCATTGTTTCTGCTCATACTTCTGGGGTTGCAAATGATCCTTAGCATCCCATGAAGTTGATTCATGACCCAAAAGTAAATTATTAATCACTTAATTTCAGCTACATTTAATACTCCCCCAATTTTTAGAGCCTCTGGGAAATTACATTTTCATTCTTTGGGATGACAGGAAGACAAAATGGAAGTGACTAGTTATGAAAAAGATTGATGTAAATTTTGAACAAATTACATTTAATGTTAAAAATAATATCTTGAATTATTTGCCATTCTGCTATATTTGAGGCATAATTAAAAAAAAAAATCCCCATAGTAAATATTCAAGAGTGGTTCACTATGTGATCTCAACCTGCAAATCCTAAGTACTTAAATATTTTTTATGACTATAAAAAGTTACTTAAGCTTAAACAATCATGGACTACCAGAAAAACTATTAAGAAAGAAATTTATCACAGCAGACCACCTATATATGACAGAATTAGCTTAAGGTTTATATATTGTATCTTCTATTTTTCTTTATTTTAACCAGATTGCCAAATTTATAAATTATAATAAAGCTATAACTGTCATTAAAAATGAACTTAAAACTATCTATTAATAAAGAAGTAGTTAAATAAAATATTTTATATTCATATTATGAAACATTATAAACTAATTAAGGAGGAAGTAGATCTATATATTGACATATGTCAATTGCATATATTAAAAAAGTTGATATATATTTATATATATGTATATGTATACATATATGTATATATACGCATATGTATATATACATATGCGTATATATACATATAAAAAGTTGATATATACATATATATATTTATATATATGTGTATATATATATATAAATTATTTTTTAAGTGAAAAGGAAAAAAATAACACTGAGCTCATGTTAGTGGTTGCCTCTCATATTAGAGAGGATTACAAAATTCCTTTAATTTTTTTAGAGTATTTTTGATCATAGGATGTGTGTACTCACCAGAGAAAGAGACATAAACAGAGACAGTGAGAGGAAAAGTGAGAAATCACCCCCCCCCCGGGGGGAGTGGCCACATCAAAATCCCTTCTCCATTCTTTTCCCAGGATCTTCAGCACACTCACACAGGCGCCTGGAGTGATTTTCTAATCCCTAGGTCTGGGACTTGAACCATGGTTGACCATGTGGGAGTCCAATGACATAAGCACTATGCCATCCACTGGCTCCTATTCATTTAATTATTATTATTGTTACTATTATTATTATTATTACTCAATTTGAGCAGAGAGGTGAGAGAGAAGTGACAGAGAGAAAGAGAGAGAGAAAGCAGGCCAACAGGTCCAGGTCGTGAACCACAGTTGGCTATGTGGGAGTTCAGTGCCTTAATCACCATGCCTCCTGTTGGTCCAGACAAGGGGTTTTAGTCTTATGTTTTATTTAATAGTAACAGAAAGCAAATATGAGGGAATCTTTAATAAATTCATGGAAATGTGTATTATGAATAAACCATGCTTGGATTTGAAATTTTTTCCCCAAAATAAACCCATACCAATTTGTTATGATATCTCTACATAAGATCTAATTTGAGACACTAAGAAAAATAAGACATCAGTTTGAAAAGAGCCCCTCTGAGAGCAACAGGAATTCTGCTAAAATTGAAATAGTATCAATTATCTCACTTACGGTGAAGCTTGGCTGTGAGAATGAAGTGATGCTTTATAAATGTTTATGGAGACCGTGTTCCCTTCCCCCAAATCAACAACTGACAAATGGGTAACTCATATTACCAAGGCATAAGGCAGTATTGGAGATGCCTCCAGCAACGACTATACACATCAATTTATGAGGAAACCACTAATCTTGTTTGTGTCCCAATAGAAGGGAACTAATAACTAACAACAGAAACAATGGCCAATACCACAGGTATCTCAACTGGTTCAGTTTACACAATTCTGACTGAAAAATGAAAGTTAAGATATCTTTCTTCTCCACAGGGGCCCGAAAGGTTGTGTCAGATCCACTCCAGACAAGAGCAGAGCTTTCCACGGGGAGTTTAAACAAGTGGGATCAAGATCCTAATGATTTTTTTTCAAAGAACTATGACAAGAAATGACACACGGCTTTACCAGTACGATCCTGAAGACAAAGCGTGATCCCAGCAATGGCTACCAAGAGAGTGAAAGTGAAATGAAAGCAGCTAAGAGCAAAGGTCATTGTACCAGATTTTTGGCACAGATGTTCAAGGCATTTTGTTTGTTGACTTTCTGGAGGTGAGAAGAACAATAGCATCTGTTTATGTGATAGTGTTTAAAGAAAGTTAGACAAAGCTTTAGCAGAACTCCTGGGAAAGCTTCACTAGTGAGTTTTTTCTTTCTTTCTTCCCCTCTCCCCACACTGTGCAATGATCCTGTTCATTTCTCTCATCGAATCAGGGCAATTCTGGGAATTTTGATTGGAAATCGTTAGGCTCCACTTGGTAGCCCTGATTTTGTTCTCTCTGGGTTGTTTTTGCTTTCTAATCTTAAAAATTCTTTACAGGGTACACATTTTTCTTTAGTTAATAAAAAAACAAAACAAAACAAAAACCTGCATTGGAGCCAGTAGGTGGCATAGTTATTAAAGCACTGGACTCCTACATGGATGACTGCAGCTCAAGTCCTGGACCTGGGGGCTTGAAAATCATTCAGGGGGGTGTTGTATGCACGCATGTGTGCCCAAAATCCAAGGGAGGAAATGGAGAAGGGATTGCAGTGTGGCCATGCCCGCTGGGGAGTGATTTCTCACTTTCCCTTTCTCTGTCCTTCTCTCACTAATGCATATGCCCTATGGCATAAACCTACAAACAAACAAACAAAATCCTGCATTGTCATGGTTAAATTTCCAGGACTCTGCTCCTTCAGGGATGGACCAAATGACTGGTATCATCACTTACAAAAATATTTTGAACTTTATGGAGTTCATGTTGAAAATAAAGTTTGCATTTTTAATTTTTCTTTTAATTCAATTTCCATGAATTTTTTAAAGTTCCCTCATTTGCCAAAAGCTAGCAGTTTAAATACCTGAGTGAGGAAGGCAATGGTTTTTATATACATATATTTAACTTTCCTCTAATTTAAAAATGTTTTGTAAGTTTCAGAGCTAGGTTTTTAAGCAAAAGCCAAAAAATAAATTCTCCTAAAAAATCAGTTTTATAATGACATCTGATCTTATTCTATCAAGCTAAATACATGTAAATGAATTTCAGTGGAAGTAAAATAGGTACGCCCATAATAAACTGACTATAAGTTCACAGTTTTTACATAGATGAGACAATAGCTCTAAATTCAAAATAAACAAAATTAGCTTGTTTGGAAGTGAAACAATCGATAATTATTAGCCATTTGTTTCAATAGCTACTCCTCTGTTGCAATGGTGTTGAAAACATTGGGTTACAGAAAAATCAGAGTACAGGGCTGCCTATGAACTGAAATGGCCCAAGAAATTCAGGGTAAAAATACGAACATTGCCTTCATTCTTATAGTGTAAGTCTGTCACCACCTAAAAAGGTGTGTGTTTGTGTGCGTGTGTGTGTGTGTGTGTGTGTGTACATGCATGTGTGTTTTGAGAAAGGAAATTTTCATGAGTCGCTCCTGGTTCTGAACAAAGACCACCCCCCCATGCCCCTCCAAAGTAAAAACAATCAAAGACAAAGCATAGACATTTTCCCAGATTAGACACACACACACACACACACTAACACAGGCACACACTCACAAACACATTCTTATACATACACTTGCAGCTTAGAGCATTGCTGAAATTATAGCAACATAATACAATACTAATAATATAAGAATACTAATACAATACTAATAATATAAGAATAACTATTGGGCCATCTCATGTTGTTGTAGTTAAGGTGTCTGGATTCCACATGGCTGACTGCAGTTCAGGTCCACAACCCCTGGTGGCTTTCAAAGCACACCAGGCACAAGTGTGTACATGCTCAAAATCTTGAGAGGAAAACTGAAGAGAAGGGTTTGTGGTGTGGCCGTTCCCCATGGGAATGCTTTCTCTCTCTCTCTCTATCTCTCTGCAGTGAATGCATGTACACTATAGCAAACTTTTTACGAAAAAAGAATGACTGTTAATAATACAGTTTATGCTATTTTGTAGGTCAAATAGGTTTTTAAGAGCTAATCTGGATGCTAAAGCACATTTTCAGAAAAACTCTTTTTATAGAAAAATGCGCTTCATGACCTTCTGAAGAATGTTATTTTTGAGGTTAAAGATTTCTTATACAAATAGTTTTAATTACATTAACTATTGTCTTGGTCTAAGGGAATTATAAAACTTGAAATAATCTCACCAAATGTTTTGTTAAAATAAAGTATCATTAAAATTTAGCCTTACCAAGCTTTATTCTTTTAGAAAATGGTCTCCGCTTAGCAAATGCCATACTTGCTTTAAGCATAGTGATTGCTTCCAAATGCAAAAGGGAAATCAGAGATTATTCTTTTAATTCTTTCTGAAAATGTTTTCAATATCTATGTGATATAATAGATTTAAAATCCCTTCAGAATCAAACAGCGAAAGGGGCAATAAGAAACACCTCAAATATCCTGAGTAAATCATCCGTCTCTGAGGGCTGTCCAGACTTGACTATCTTCTGCAGGGCTGTGTGGCAAGTTTCCCTTTTCTAATTTGATTGCCATACGGCTACACCTGCTGTTGTTTTTGGCTACATGCTGGATCTCTCAAAGCTTTCTGTATTTCCTCTTTTGCCTATTAACTACCTTGAAAATTTGCATGATTATTGCCTCAGTTCAAGGTGCCAATGTTCAAACAGTTCCCCTAGCTTTAAGGCAAAGAAGAGGATTGTGGGAGGCGTATGTATACATGCCTGGGCATATATATTCCACCTCGTATTAGTCTGTACAGCTGGTCACTTGATAGCACTTGGCGATAATGCCAAGCTACTGGTTAAGTGGAGTCCAGTCCAGCTCAGTGAGGCAAATGCTAGAACAATTTACTGCACTAAACACAATAAAGTCCAGCTTGCAAATGACCAGACGGACCTGCTCTTGAAGAATATGATTTATCTTAAAATTGCCTTTATCCATCAAGGAACATTTAATTTATAAAATTAGTAAATTTGATAGGCCATTCATATTTAATGAACATACCTCAATTTTAAAAAATCCAGTAATATGTACGCTATTACTTCTACATATAGAATTGCAGTGAAAGACAGGAGTTAGGGTAAACAAAACAGAACCTTCTGATCACACTATCTGTTTATCTGAAGCAATAGAAAAACCTTTTTTTTTTTGAGAGATTTTCACTGTAGGGCGCGTGCGCTCGCCAGACAGACAGAGAGAGACATAGAGACAGAAAGCGAGAAATCACCCCCCGTGGGGGATGGTCACGCCGCAATCCCTTCTCCTCCATTCTCCTCTTGGGATCTTGGGCACGCACGCACACATGCCCGGCGTGAGTTTTAAGCCACCGGGTCCGGGACACGAACCGCGGTCAACTAAGTGGGAATCCAGCGACATAGCCATTACGCTAACTGCTGGTTCCCTAGAAAAACCTTTTGATGGGCCAGCAGATGGCATAGCAGTTCTATTGCTGGATTCCCACGTGGCTGACCACAGTTCCAGTGCCAGGTCTGGTGACTTCAAAATCATGCCAGGCACTTGTGCATGCATGCTCAAGATCCCAGGAGGAGAACAGAGGAGAAGGGGTTATGGCATGGCCATCCCCCGGGGGGTGATTTCTCACTTTCCCTCTCACTGTCTCTGTCTGTCTCTGTCTCTGGGAGCACACATGCCCAAAGGCAAGAACCTCTTAAAACAAAACAAAACCCCTTTTGATACCAAATACATTTTAGAATTCAAAAAGAGCACTTATCATAAACTGCAAACCTTGACTTCTCTTTTTTTCAATTTACCCGACACAACGATGTCATTGATATTTTCTTTCTGTAGTACATTTTTTTCCTGAATAATAAAAGCAACATCTACTACTCTAGGTATAATAAAGTCTTGCTGGATTAGTAAGAGTTTATTGGTTTCAGCACTCTGGAGAACAGCTAATCCACACAGATAAATTATTATTGTTCTTCAGAATGATTCTCTTTCAAAATAGAACAAACATCATTACAGATTCATAGTTAAGGTGCTGATATCTGTATAATTTTCTGATTAAAAAGGTCAATTTCCAATCCAACATATACTGCTGTGTTTACTGCAAGACAGAAAGACAAACTAATGAACAAAATTAACTTCTCAGAACAGGACAAATTAATTTCTCAAGAGTGGACAGTGGAAAATAATACTCCTAAAGTTTATCCTCTCCTATTGCTACACTACTTCTCACCATTTTATTATCATCAGTCATTTTGAAAAGGCTTGACTCTGTATTTAGAAAAGTGGTAAGGCCAATTACCCAATATACATGAATGTCACCTACACGTTTTACAATAACACTACCGGAGCGCAGCTCTTCATTCAAAGCCGGTAATGTTTGATGTAGTGTCACTAAGATACGTTGGGATATTTTGTTTTGTTGCTGGTTTGATTCACTCATATCAAAGTAGACATCCAACAATTAAACAAAGCTTTTTGAAGTAAAAGAAATTACTCCTTCCTTTTCTACAGGGTGCTAAATAACTGACTAAACTATCCTTGGTGAGTATTAAATGCAACCAAGAAACAATGTTTGGCTGCCATTAGATCATGAAATTTATAAGTCTTAATTAGATGAGGTTGTTTATGAGAGTCTGTAAACTATATAATCCTCCTTTCTCAGTAACGTATCCAGATATCTCTGTATCTGTAATAAAAAACACACACACAGGGAATTATGCATTGCTTAATAGCAAGGATAGGATACAGTCAATGCAGCGTTAGGAAATTCTGTCATGCAAACATTATCGAGTGTACTTAACACATCTAGATGGTATACAGTTTACTCCCCACCTAGGCTATATGACATAAGCTATTGGGTTTTTATTAAAGAATTATTTATTTATTTTTATTTATTAATATTAGTGGGCTTTTTTTTTTTTTTGGAGAGGTTTTTGCTATAGGGCGTGTGCGCTCACCAGACAGACAGAGAGAGACAGAGAGACAGAAAGCGAGAAATCATCCCTCAGGGGGGATGGCCACACCACAATGCCTTCTCCTCCATTCTCCTCTCGGGATCCTGGGCATGCAAACACATGTACCCGGCATGAGTTTTAAGCCACCGGGTCCAGGACACCAATCGCGGTCGACTATGTGGGAGTCCAGTGACATAGCCATTATGCCAACTGCTGGTCCCATATTAGTTCTAATTATTATCTTTTATTCTCATTTTAAACATTCAATCACTATACATCATTTGACTTGTAAAGAGAATTTACCTAACAAGAAATACTTCTCAGACCAGTCCAGTAGAGAATACTATACATGTTATCATCAACAGGTAATAAACCATTTCTGTGTCCCACAAATGTCATGCCTCTAAAAATATGAAATGCTTCACAAATTTGGGTGTCATCCTTGAATGGGGGGCCATGTTAATTTTCTCTGTATCATTCCAATTTTAGCATAAGTGCTGTCAAAGCGAGCACTATGGGATCAGAATCATATGTGTAGTCTGTCATTGATCAAAATGTTATGCAGTACATGACTATACATAACAAGTTGAGAGAGTTAGGAGGGAAGGAATAACAAGTAAGAGGGCAAGATAGGAAAAAGAGAAGGGAGAAAGGGAGCAGATATACACACCGAGCAAAACAAAACTAGTCCTAAACTCACTGCATAACACATTCGTTTATGATTACTTCTAATGCTATTTCCAACCCAGCACACTCATATAGCTAATCTTGAAATGCTTGGTGAGCAAATACAAGAGTTAGAGAAAAAGGCCAACAGAGAAACATGTGAATGAAATGCAGTGTTAGGCAAAACCAGTGCCTGTGATTCAGCTATAGTTTTAGATACTAGAATTGAAAATTAGGTCTAATATATCCACTATAGTTTGACTTTTCTTTAAACTATTCACGTTTTTTTTTTAAAGAATTTGTTATTTAATTCTATCTATTATTATTTAATTTGACCAGAAAGAGACTAAGAAAAGGAAAGTGAAAAAGCAAGCCACCAGATCTGGAACTTGAACTATGCTTAACCCTGTGAGAGTTGAGTCCCTAAAGCTGAAGATATCATACACATTATCATCAATAGACAATCCTCCATTTCTGTCCCTTAAATGTCTTGCTTCTCTATTTTTATCCTTGATTCCTTTCCTCTCCCTCTCCCCCATCTCCAAACCTCTTCCCATCCTGCCTCCAGTGTCCATAACTGTTTTCCATGCTTCTATATCCTCTTTCAGTTTCCACCACAGAGTGTAGACAGTTGGTATATATTAAGTGGAGACATACAATGTCTCTCTTGCATAGCCTGGCTTACTTCGCTCAGCAGTAAATCTTCCATATTCGTCCACTTTCTATCAAATGCTAGGGTTGGGTTGTTTTATGGCTGAGTAGTGTTCCATAGAGTATATGTGCCACTGTTTCAATCCATTCATCTGTTCATCAACATCTGGGTTGGTTCCATGTCTTAGCAATTCTGTATAATGCCATGATAGACATAGATGTGCAAGCACTTTCTGACTGAGAAAATACTCATTCTTTGGGTAGATACCCAAGAGTAGAATTGCTAGATCTTATGGTAGTTCTATTTGTAGGTTTGAGGAATTTCCGTATCAATCTCCACAGTGGCTATACTAATTTACATTGCCACCGACAGCGTAAGAGTTCTATTTTCACCAGATCCTTGCCAATACTTACATTTTGTTTGTTTGTTTGTTTTCTTCACCTTTGCCATTCTGACTGGGGTTATGTGTTATATCCTTGTAGTTTTAATTTAAATCTCCCTAATAATGAGGGATGTTGACCATTTTTTCATATGCTTTTTGGCTGTTTGAATGTCTTCCTTAGAGAGTTGCTTATTCAGCTCATTTTCCCATCTTTTAATTAGATTATTATTATTATTGTTATTTTGGTAAGTCACTTGAATTCTCTGTATATTCTGGTTATCAGTTCCTTATCTGAGGCACAGTTTACAAAACTATTCTCCCATTCTGAGGGTTGTTGATTCACACTAATTACCATGTCTTTTGCTGTGCAGAAAATTCTTAATCTGATGTAATACCACTTGTCTATTTTTAGGATTATTATCTGTGCTTTGGGGCTCTTATTTAACAAGTCTTTGCCTATCCCAATGTCTCCTAGAATTTCCCCAGTGTTTTCCAGTAGTTTTACTATTTGAGGTCTTAGGTTTAGATCTTTCATTCACTTTGAGTTGACTTCTGTTAATGGTGAGGGACAGAGGTCCAGATTCATCTTTCTGCAGGTGGATACCCAGTTTTTCCAGCACCATTTTGTAGAGGTTTTCTTTTTCCCACTGGACTGGTGCCCTTTATCAAAAAACAGTTTCCTCTGTGTTTTAGGGTTTGTTTCTAGGGTCTCTATTCTGTCCCATTGGTCCACATGTCAGTTTTTGTGCCAATACTATGCTGTTTTGATTATCATAGCTTTGTAATATATTTTGGGGTCAGAGAATGAGATGCCTCCTACTCTACTCTTCTCGTGCAGGATTGCTTTGGTAATACAAGATCTTTTATGATTCCAGACAAATGATTGTCTTTCCTAGACCTGTGAAGAATGTCTCTGGTAAGCTGATTGAGATTTCATTAAATACATAGGTTAATTTGGGTAGCATGCCATTTTGATTATATTAATTCTTACAATCCAGGAACATAGGATGTCCTTCTAATTTTTGTGTCTTTTTTTTTTTCTCTAGATTTTCATAATTTTCTTTGTAGGGGTCTTTGACCTCCTTGGTTAGATGTATTCCTAGGTACCTTACACTTTTTATTGCTATGGTAAGTAAGAGCATTTTACTCAATTCTACCTCAGTCTGCTTGTTGTTTGTATATAGAAATGCTACTGATTTTTTTTATGTTGATTTTGTATCCTGCCATTTTACTGTATTCATTTACCACTTCCAGGTGTTTTTTCCATGGATATCTTTGTGTTTTCTATGTATACAATCATGTCATCTGTAAATAGAGATAATTTCACCTCTTTTTTTCCCCATTTTTCCTATTTGAATGCCTTTTATTTTATTTTCTAATTTCATTGGCTAGGACTTTAAGTACTCTACTGATAAGGAATGGAGAAAGTAGGCAATCTTATCTTATACCAGTTTTTAGTGGAAAGGTTTTGAGCTTTTCCCCATTCAGTAAGATGTTAGCTTTGGGGTTTTTCACAGATAGCTTTAATTGTGCTGAGAAATATCCCTTCTATGTTGATTTCACTGAGAGTCTTAATCATGAAGGGATGTTGTATTTTTATCAAATGCTTTTTTTTTTTTTGCAACATTTCAAATGATCACATGGTTTTTATCTTTTTGTTAATATGGTACATTACTTTAATGGTTTAGTGTATGTTGTATCATCCTTGCACGCTTGGAATAAAGCCTACCTGGTCATCATGTATCATCTTTTTTATATGTTGTTGGATACAATTTACTAGTATCTTGTTGAGAAATTTTGCATCTTTATTCATCAGAAATATTGGTCTATAGTTTTCCTTTTTTTTTTGTCATGTCCTTATCTGTTTTGGGGATGATGGTGATAGAGGGGCTTTTCTTTTTGGAAAAATTATTTATTACTGATTCAGTCTCATTGCTTGTTATGAATCTATTCAGGCTTTCTATGTCTTCCAAATTCAGTCTTGGTAGAATATGTGTGTCCAGAAATTTGTCCATCTCATATAGGTTTTCTTGTTCGTTGGCATATAGTCACTCACGGTATTCTCTAACAATGCTTTATATTTCTATTATGCCTGTAGTAATACTGCCTGTTTCACTGTGAATTTGATTTGTCTGATTCCTTTCTTTCTTCTTCTTAATTAGTCTAGCTAATGGTGTGACAATTTTGTTTATGTTTTCAAAGAACCACCTTTTGGTTCATTTATTTTCTGTAGAGTTCATATATTTTCCTTATTATTATTATTATTTGAATTAATTAATTATTTTATTTCATTTTCTTTAATACATTCAATCACATTATTTTTTGTCTTACAAAGTGGATATTTCAAAAGTAGTTCATTTATTTTCTATTTCATTTATTTCTGCTCGAATCTTCATTATTTATTTCTTTTCTGGCTTTTTTTGGGGGGATTTTAGTGTTGTTGTTTATTCAGTTCCCTGAGGCATGATGTTAGGCTGTCCATTTAACACCTTTCCATCTTTTCCTTATGTGCATTTTTTGCTATGAACTCTCCTCTTACGATTACTTTTGCTTGTGTCCCATACGTTATGGAAACTTGTGTAGTCATGATCATTGGTTTCAATAGATCTTTTTAGTTCATTCTTAATTTCTTTAACAGTTGTGAAGTCATTTAGGAGTGGATTGTTTAGTTTCCATGTTTCTATAGTTTTGAGGGTATTTTGTGAAATTAATATCAAGTTTAATTCCATCATGGTTGGAGAAATTGCTGGATATAGTTTCTATGCCTCTGAATCTGTAAAGGCTTGTTTGGTGCCTTATCTTGTGGTCAACTTTTGAAAAGGTTCCATGTGGGGGGGGGGAGAGAAAACTGTGTATTTTGTGTTTTTTTATAGGAAGGTTCTATAGATGTCTGTGAAGTCCATTTTATTAATAAATGTAAATAAAACTGTACATGTTAAGATATTGTTTAGATCCTGTACGTCTTCACTTATTTTTTGTTTAGATGATTGGTCTAAAGGAGACAGTGGGGTGTTGAGATCCCCAACAATTTGTGTGTTGCTGTCTACCTCTCCTTTAATCTAACAGTCTTTCCTTCACATATTTGGGTGCTCCTGAGTTGGGTGCATAGATATTTTAAGTGTTCTGTCTTTTTGAAGAATTAGCCCTTTTACTACTACATAATGCCTTTGTCTCTTCTTGCAGTTTTTGTCTTAAAGCCTATTTTGTCTGAAATGAGTATCATGACTCCAGCCCTCTTTTGGTTTTCATTTGCATGGAATACCTTTTCCCAGCCTTTTGCATTTAGTCTATGCATGTCTTTACCCATGAGTAGTGTTTCTTGTAGGCAACAGGGTAGAGGGTTTCTGTTTTTTTATTTTATTTTATTTTATTTTTATCCATTCAGCCAGTCTTGTCTCTTGACTAGGGAATTTAATACACTAACATTCAATGTTATTATCGATATTTCCAGATTTGTCCCTAGCATTATGTTAGCCACTTTCTTGGTTGTTTTTTGTTGTCTTATTTCTGTCTGTCTCTCTTTAGTTTTCCTGGGATAGTACTCCCCTCAATACTTCCTGAGCAGCTTGTCTGGTGTTGGTAAATTCTTTCAAGCTTTGTTTATCTGAGAATGTTTTTATAATCTTTCTAGGAATAATAATCTTGGTTGAAATTGTTTTTCTTTCAACATTTTGATTATATCTACCCATTCTTTTCTTGTTTGTACTGCACTGAGAGGTGTAAAGTTGCCTGATGGGATAACCTTTGTAAGTAACTTGATGTTTTTCTCTTGCTATTTTTAGAATCTTATCTTTATCTGTGATTTTGGTTAAT